GCTCTCATGACCCTGAGAGCATGACGTGAGCCAAAACCAAGAGTCAGATGTTCAACCAGCTGAGCCACCCAGACGCCCCCAGGAGCTTCACTTATCAGTTATTTAATTACAACCATGTGAAGTAAATATGATGGTCCTCTTTTATGGCTGAGCATTTAACATACCAAAGAGGTTAAAACAAAGTGATGTGCCATGCTATGGTTCAGACAGAGACCATCCCTTTACCCACTGTGGTATGTTAATAAGTTAAAAGCCAAATTTGAAAGTTAGAAAACAAATTGACTTAAGGTGGTGATAACATTGATCTTTCGTGAGCAGAATTCTGGCAGCCTTGTTATCCGTGGACCTGGGATGCTTTGTACTTGCCTTGGGTTTTCTCTGATGGCTGGTCCTCAACTCTCATTCTCATAAGCAGTCTCCTGTCTAGATCGGGCCTGCCATGGCATATCCTTGCCTTCCCTGTAGAAATTCTCTCACCTTCCCTCTCTCCCCTTCTGCTAATCTATTCTCAATGATGTGATGGTTAAAAAGAAAAAAGAAAAGCCCTGGTTTGTAGCATTTGCCAATTTCAGTGTGTAAATACTGCTGTTATCATTGATTTCAAGCTATCAGTGTTCCACATCACTGAAGGCAAGGCTGGCAAGGGGTGTCTGTTGGGGAAAATGTGCAGTAGCACACCGTCATGATAGAATTTCTGTCATAGAGATAAGATAGATGTAAACCTCGAGATTAAAGGTAACAGGAAGGTGTGGTAAAATAATTAAAGTGATGAGTTTTAAGTATTTATTAATCTGTTATTAATATAATTTACTTAATTCTGAGCTTATTTAATTTTTAATAATGCCTGTGTTTAACAAGTGGCTTGCAGAATTCCTAAAAACACAGCGATCGGCTCTCACGAGCCTGTACAAGCCAGCTCTGCAGTCACCTTGCTGCTTGCTGCCAGGGCCCACTGCCAGAAACCTGACGGCTGGCACTGTCTTGCCATCTGAGACATCAGTGCTGGCCCTTCTTTGACCATTCCTCCCACAAAACTTCCCGTCTCATTCCCCTCATCTCCAGCTAACATCTCCCCTGTTTGCAAGGCCTTGTTCATTTCCCACGCTGTAATTCACTTTCTCCCATCGCTCTGGTGCTTTTCCCTGGCCCATTCCTTTTTTCCCCCTAATCAAGATACTGTCCCTGGTTTAAGGAAGGCCCCAGGCATAACTCATATCTTGGGGCATGGAGAGTCTGTCAGCAAGGTGTTGGGTTTCATGTGGAGAGAAAAATCCTTGTTCTACAGAAGGAAGATCTGTTCTTTGAATTCCAGGTTAGAAATCTGAGTGGGAAAAAAATTTTGTTTTAGTCATTAGTAAATATGTAAAGGTGATTATAGCACCATTAATATCATATATCTACTATATACATGAGTTAAAGATGGGGAGAATTGAGACCACAGCTGCCATTTAAAATTCTGTTTTTCTGGTGAGCATGAAGGAGGGCACGTGATGTGATGAGCACTGGGTGTTTTATGCAACTAATGAATCATTGCACATTACATCAGAAATTAATGATGTACTGTATATTGGCTAATTGAATTTAAAAATAATACATTTTAAAAAACAGATAAAAAATAAAATTCTGTTTTTCTTGGCAAATAAGTGACTGATTGGTGGCATTTAGGACTATGGTGCATTCATATTTTGGGGATCACCAATATCTACAAAATGGAGCCTCGTATAGATTGTCTTTTTCCATTAGTTCTTTTGTCACCTGTCAGCAAAAATAATCAGGACTCTGACAAAACTGTGAGGTTCAAGGACATATTTCCCATTAATGAAGAGACAAGGAAAGTATCTTTATAAGGAGAGCACTATGTTTCTTCAGTTTACTGGAGAAGTGGAGATGTAGATGCCTCTCTTCATGGGGCTTTAGTCAAGAACGTACAGAAAATTGCCTTTGTTATCTATTGTCGTTAGATAATATTCTAGATAATATCTAGATAATAATAATATTCTAGATAATATTGTCATTAGATAATAAAATTCATGGAATGAATACATAGGTCAACCTGGCTGCCCAGTTAATAAGTCTGTGGAATGAATACATAGGTCAATCTGGCTGCCCAGTTAATGAGTCTGTGGAATGAATACATAGGTCAATCTGGCTGCCCAGTTAATAAGTCTGTCATGTGACTTACTAACTGGGCAGCCAGATTGACCTATGTATTCATTCCATGGGGTGTATCCTTCCCATGAGCAGCAAAATCATGTACCAGGATGTTCCTTAGGGGAGGTATGGTTAAACCAATCACCTCAACAAAAATTCTTACTTAGATCTGTTTTTCAGCACTCCTGCACTAGCTTAATCTTACAAGTCCCTCTGCAGGGCCTCTAGCTGCCCCGTACTGCTGGGGGAATGTAGGGGTCCTAGCTGGCTGGGGAGTGAGAGTGTGGATTGTTTGCTCCCAGGGACTTGACGAGAGTGCAGAGGGCTCTCCTTCAGGGAAAACAGGGTACTTTCGTGCCAGGTGCCTTTGGAATCTGAATTTCAAGTAGCTTTGAGGTGAATGAGGCTTCTGTGTGCCCTCTATATAGAGTTTTGGGTAGTTTGACTTAACATAAAAAAAAAAAAACTGAAGCTATGAGAGCATTTTAAAGCTTGTTTACTTTTGTCTTGGGAATGAAGAAAGAAGTTGATGTTGAAAGCTTTGTTAAAAGGATTTAAACTGCCCTGTAGCCCTCTCCTCTGCCCTCAGTTAAAAGAAGGGCCCAGATACCACTTAATACCTTGGGCACAGAGTCTTCTAGCAAGATGTTGGGTCTCACATGAAGAGGAAATCCCTGATCTTGGGAAAGAAGATATATTCTCTCAGAATTCCATGATCCCCCCCGTAGAAGAAGTCCACACTGTGAGTAGCTTAGGCTGGCAGGCCACAGGATCTCAGTGGGAACTGCTCAACTCTGCTGTGGCTCATTGTGCAAAAGTAGCCACAGGCCGCGTGCAAACAAATGGGCATGGCTGGGTTCCAAGAAGACTTTATGTATGGGCACTGAAATTCAAATGTCATGTCATTTTCACATGTTAAAAGATATTTTTCTTTTGATTTCTTTTCCACCCGCCTAAAAACGTGAAAACCTTTCTTAGCTTTTGAGCCTTATGAAAACAAGCGGAGAGCTGGATTGCACCCATGGATTATAGTTAGCCAACCTGTGCTCAGAAGGATGAAACTTTAGAGCTTTCTTTCACACTTTTTTTTTTTCCAGGTTATAATAGTATTTCAATACCTTGAGAAATTTATTCTTCTTATGTGCTGTAGACATTTTAGCTGGTTGTGGTTTATCATGCCAAAGGGTATTAAATATTTTGCCAGCCTAAGCTTTTCAAAAATGTTTCCAGGAAAGGGACTTACACGAGTCTCAATTATAATTCTAAATAGTGACTGCAGCCAGTGATAATTCTGTTTTACCGACTGTGCTATTCCTGTGGTAGGGTGCTTGGGAACTTTGCAGTTCAGCATTTGTAGGAAGTCACAGCTTGTGGCTGTGGCTCATTCTGACTTCTTACCTGTTGCACTGAACAGATTTGAGCCCCTACCGTGTACAGGGCACTGCATAAAGCACTGGGGATAAATGAAGAGATGGGCATCTGGGACTTTGGGAAATACCTTGAACTCTGTTTCCAGAATCAACCTGTTGAAGCATTGCTTTTATTAGACTTGATCCTAAGTTTGCTGTTAGGGTTTTTGGTTTTCAGTGTTGAATAAAACACTACCTGCTGTTCTGTGATGTTGCTGGGCTTAATAAATTGTGGCCACGGGGTGGCATGGTTCTCTAATAGGCTTCACTGTTGCTGAAATGGAAAAGAAAAAAAATGCTGTAAGGAAGGAGTATTCTCACCCCTATTTAATGGTAAAGTAGCCTTGCTTTCTCTAAATTGGTTTTTCCATAGTACATTATTCTTTTTTTCTTTTTTTTCATGGTGCATTATTAAGATTTAGATGGTACTAAACCTCAGTGCTTTAAAATCTTATGGTGACAACATGAATTGTATAATGTTTATGATTGGGAGAATAGTAGTTAGGACTGTATTTAAAGAATATATTTAATTTAGGCACTAACCTCAAAAAAAAAAAAACCAAAAACCTCGAACGTGTAAAAACTAGAAAGAATATGCGAATAAACAACAGTGATATCTTCTCAGTAGTTGCAGAGTCATGAACAAAGGTACTGACACAAGGATTCTGTCTAATTCCAAGGGTTTGATGGAGAGGTGGGTAAAGAAGAGTAGGGATTCCAGATGGTCAGGAAACACATAATTGGAAAAGCGATTGTCCCATCTTTGTAGATTAAGAATATTATCACAGCCTGAGAGCTGAATGTGTTCCAAGAGTTTTCATATATTGGCCTCCAGAAGAGAAGGTATTGTGTCCATTTATATAGCCAGGGAAAGTGGGGTTTAGAGGATTTAAGTGAAGTCTTTGTAGCTTTGACTGGAGCCCAAGCGTGTGCTCTTTGCTCCCTGCCATCTCCAGGCCAGCTCATTGGAGACCCTCCTTGTTGGAGAATGGGTAGACTTGGCAGCGATTTCTGGGGTGGAAGAGAGAGTTACTGCTGCCGCTGGACCAGGGGTCGGGGGCGTTCCGGGTATAAGGGGTAACTGTTCAGTATGCCTCCTCCATCGTCTTGGCCTTATCTTTGGATTCTTTTGGATTTCTTTCTTTTTTTACCTGTTCATCAAGTAAATATCCAAACCAGCTATTACCTTTGTAATACCTCATTTGTCCAGCCACCTCCACTAAAACCTAAGCTTTAGGGAGGACAAAGATCTCATTTTCAGATAATTTTGTATTCTCAGTTCCTATAATACCTCCTGGCACGTAAGTGCTCGGTGTTTATATTTATATAACCTACTAGAATGGGACCCAGTTGAGATGATACATTTGATTTTCCCTTGAATTTGATGTTTTGGGAAGACGGACTCCCAAGGGGAGCCTGACTCTCTCTTTCCTTTCCTAGGGCGATTGTGTGGTTACCGTGTTGCTGGCTGAAGAGGACAAAATTGAGGATGATGTAGTTTTCTACTTGGTATTTTCGGGTTCCACCCTCCATCACTGCACAAGTACCCGGAAGGTCAGTGCTGATACGCTGGAGACCATTGCTCCTGGTAAGTACTGGGTGGAATCTTCTCTGGCCTTTACTGGTTCATGGACATTTTTATTCTGTGTTCATTAATGTGGAGTTCGAAGAAGAATGAATCAGGGCAATAGAACTCCGGTCAGATCCTTATTTTAAATATGCGTTGAATAAAGCATTTTGTTTAAATTTGCTTTTCCACAGAAATCTGAGCCTCACTGGAAATTAGCGAAATAAAATGGTGTCATAAGTTTGAAAGATAAAACTCAGGATCAGCAAAAACATTAATTTATTAGAATGTTGAGATTTGGGGAAAACTAAAACGGGTGGAAGATACAAGTTCTGCTGTGGTTCCCATGGTATGACTTGGTGTGACGACGATTTGATTATGAATATCATAGTGGCAAAAGCAAAGGCAAAACACAGTCAGTAATGCAATTGCTCAGTATCTGTGAGGGAAAGACCTAAAAATGTTTCGTAAAAACCAAACTTTACCCACATTAACAAATTATAGTTCATGGTAGAATGAATGCGTAATCACTGTTGCAATTATAAATTTAACAGAATTAAAAGGGGAAGATAGGTAGTTATTAAAAATGCTTTACAAAGTCATGAAATCATTGCTACTTCCACCAGAAACGGTCCATAAAATAACGACTGTCTCTTGACCTGTCTGCCCCAACATCTGCAGGTGTACTGATTTGTGTTTGGAGATGAGCTGCTTTCCTTAACTGACCTGGCTTCAAAGTTAACAGTTGACCAGTTTTCATCAGGATACAAAGTAGGGCACATTTATGGGGTAGCCCCTAAAAAGTGTTGACACTTAACTGTTTTCCTTTAGAGAATAAGGTGGATTCAGTTCTTACTAAACCATTTCTTTTTACCAGTGTTTTTATAGAACACTGATTCCACTGTGTTGAAATAGATGGTGTAAAAAATTACTAGTTTATGAAGCACTTTTGATATCTAGTCTTGCTGGTATTGGATCAGATTGCCAGGTTTTCGTTGCTGTGCCATTTAATATAAATGAACTTCACGTCAGATACCTACCAGCTCCTGGAAATTATACTGCAGTCAAGGGCTGGGATTTATGACGGTTGAAAGCTGTGTTTATCCTCCTGCCTGGCAAAAATGACTTTGAAAAATACAGGATTTAAAGATTCTTGACAATTCCTATGAATTTCTCCCCCCCCAAATTTTTAGGGATTAGAAATTAACCTGGAGTTCAGGATAGATACTGATTTCTTTCCTAAAGCGTATTAAGTATCCTCCTTTTAACTTGCTCCAGGCATCTTGTTTCCTGTGATGTATATCATGTCAGAAAGGCTTATCTGGAACTTGAGGTCTGCTCTGGGGCAGGTGCCATCCTGTGTCACCATTGCAAAACCTCTGTCATGTGTGGGTGATGGTGAGAAACAGCTCCTCAGCAAGTAGAATCAGTCGGTGCCTGACTGGACTCTTACTGGGAAAGGAATGGTGGTAATTTTTATAAACTTACTCCTTCCAGAATTAGAAACAGGTTAGGAGTTAAAGTTAGGGGGGTGGTGCGTGCGTGTGTGTGTGTGTGTGTGTGTGTGTGTGTATGATTGTGTGTACACACATGTAAGAAAGATGTAAGTAGATGTGGAGGATGCAAGGACCTGTAAGAGAAAGGACAGATGTGGCAAGGCTGTTCCCCTGTACCCTAGTTGCAGTCCTCAGTTACAAGTACCGGCAGAGTCCAGCCCCGTGGAGACGGATCTGCCTGGCAGCTCTTGTACCTTCACTGACAAGGCACTGAAATTAGGGTGGGCGGCAGGTACTTCCTTTCCTTGGCTTCACAAGCCCCCCTCTGCTTGTATGACAGCCTGGGGCTCTGAGTTTGTTCCAGACCCTGTCTGATCTCCAGCCTACCTTCCTGAATTCTAGTTCCCATTTCTTCCCTTGCCTTTGGTTCTAAACCTCTTTATGTGTCTCTGCACCCCTCCTTCCCAGCCACACCCATCTCTGGGTGTCCTTTTGTACTTATGGACTCCGAGGACCCTTACCCTACCGGCCCCAGCAAACCAGAATGGTTATGGTACTCTGCTGCTTTCTGCTAACTTGATCCAAATCCTCAGAAATCATACCTGACCCATTTGCATGGGGCCTGGAGTCCTAGTACTTGCCTTCTCCATTTTCCACGAATCCACTAATCCACTAATCCACTATCCCCCCTTTAAATTATGATCACTGGCACCTCCTGTGTTCTCTGTCATGCTTACAGGGCCCAATAACCCGTCCCCTTCTCACCCCAGTTGGCCTGCATGGTCTGCTCTTCACTTGAGGTCTTTCAGGCTGATGATAGGAGGTGGCCGATCACAGCAGAGGTAACAGAGGCTTAGAGTCCCTGCAAGACCCTCCTGTCCAAGCAGGCCAAACGGGATGTAGAGCCACACTGTAACGTAAACCTTTGATACGGATGCAGGGCAGCAGTGAGGTCCTCGCTGGTGAGGTAGAAGCTCTGTGAACTGTTTAAGCAGAGGAGATTGCTGAGTGGAGCCTGTTGCTCTGGTCATCATGTGTGAGATCTTTCCATTCACTTGTCTTGTTAGGCTGCTACATCTGCTGTAGTTGCGTGTGGAGGTCTGGTAGGGATGGGGCACTGAGGGCATTGAGTTAGTTTTGAATTTCTTGTTGATATCATGGAGTTAATATTTTAGTCTAGAATTAAACTGTGTTAAATCTGTTTTTAGGGAAATCTTAGACTTGTTCCTTCCCTTCCTTCAGCTCTTTATTGAGCTATCATCTTCTCAGTGAGGCCTTACCTGTCTACCTTACAAAATACACAACAGCCTCTAAGGGGCGCCTGGGTGGCTCAGTCGGTTAAGCATCTGACTCTTGATCTCAGCTCAGGTCTCGATCTCAGGGTCATGAGTTCAAGCCCCACTGGGCTCCACGTTGGGTGTGGAGCCTACTTAAAAAAAAATACACAGTGGCCTCCTCTCTGTATTCCCTCTTGCCCTTCTCTGATTTTTCTGCATTGCACTTACCAACTTCTAGCCCATTATATCTTTTATTTATCTTATTTGTTTTCTACCTGCCTCTACTAAAGTCAGCTTCATGAGGGCATAGATTTCTCTCTGTTTTGTTGGTGCATGCTAAGAAGGCTGTTCTAGGAATCCCTACCATTTGATGGAAGAGCATTTCTACTTTATCTGAATTCAGCCCAGTTCTCGGAAACCACTCCTCTAGAAAGGTTGTGCACACACACACCATTTCTTTTGAAAAATGCAAAAGGAGTTTGCTCTGGTTTCTTGAGTTGAATTTTTGCTTGGGGGTGGGAGTCTGTGTTCTCTTTCCAGAGCTACCTATGATGATTTCTCTGCGTCAGTTAGCTGTATTGATAGCCTCAGATTTCCTGTCTGCTGTGGGCAGTGTCAGATTAGTCAAGATTTTTTTTTTAAATTTTTTATTGTTATGTTAATCACCATATATTACATCATTAGTTTTTGATGTAGTGTTCCATGATTCATTAGATTAGTCAAGATTCTTGATGGAAAGTCTGTGCTTGCTTTGTGCATCCCAGGCACCGGATAAATGTGCACAGTCTGTTTGCAGCAGGTGCTGCTGGGAATGATGTCTGTGCACCCTTTCTGCTCACGGGTGGGATGAGCTCTGCAAGTCCTAGTCATTTTGCTTGCGTCTGGGAAGAAAAAGAGCTTTGTGTCTTGTTCTTGCTTTTAATGTCATGTTTCATCCACATTGCTGGCTCTGATTTTTCCACTTCTCTGCATGTTTCACTGTCAGTGTTTTGTAACATTTTAGTTTTTACTAAAACCAGATGATTGATTGACCTTCAAAAGGTGCCTGGGTGGCTCAGTCCTTAAGCGTCTGCCTTCAGCTGAGGTCATGATCCCAGAGTCCTGGGATCGAGCCCCGTGTCGGGCTCCCTGCTCCGCTCCGCAGGAAGCCTGCTTCTCCCTCTCCCACTCCCCCTGCTTGTGTTCCCTCTCTCGCTGTATCTCTCTCTGTCAAATAAATAAAATCTTTAAAAAAAAAAAGGGGGGGGGCAGCTACTTCTTGATGTTAGTCTGTAACCTTTTATTATTGGGGGGAGTGGAAGGGAGGAAGAAATGTTTCTAAATTGCGTCCTTTAGAAAAAAGTTTTAATTTCAGATACCAAGATTATTTTTTTCTATTTTCTCACTTTCTTGCTTATTTTCTAACGAGAAGTTTACAATGAACTGTGTGTGTGTATGTTTAATTATAAATTGTAAATGCTTTGTAAAAAATAATCTTTTCTTGCCTTACTGCCATCGAAAAGCTGTAGACCTGATATGATTCCCCTTTTTAATAAAGTAAGTACAATAAAAGCATCTTAGGGGGCAGTGAGGTGGAGACTTTGGTTTCTACTTTATTTGCCCTTGAATTGTTTGAATGCTTTACAAGTGAGCATGTTACTTTTTAAAACATATGTAGTAACTTTTAATAAAAACATTTTGAAGACTGAAAACAGTGTCCTCTCTTCGGAAAATAAAGCTATCTGGGTGCTGATTAACACTAGGCACAAACAAGCTATATAATAAAATGTTATATTCAAAACACCTATGAATTTTCTGGTTAAGAATATAATTTGCTATGAAATACAGCCTGAAATGGATATACATCTCTAAAGATAAAAGGTATTGCCTTTGTAGTAAAGGAAAATACCTCCATTCTTTTCTGTTTGTATGAAACAAATCCCGACCACAAATCCCACCTTAACTAAACAGTGAGTTTCCTTTAGAGATGAAGCAGAGATTTTTCTTTAAAAGACTTAACACAGGACTGGTAAGTAATATAAAGAAGTCTGAATATCTTTGGAAGATAATTCCTGAGGGATATGGAATACCATTTTATTGTATTCATTTTTATTAGTTAAATTTGAATTTAGATCAAGCAGACATTGATTTCAGAATGGAAATGAGACAGGGTGTTCAGTGGATGCTGCATACTATTTTTATGAAAGGTTTTGGTGCAGGATCTCTCCTAAAATGCAGTCTTTTTTCAGCATGTGTTATTTACTTTAAG